AGTTGAGACCTCAACCAGTCGAACTTTACGTTTGAGTTCAACAGCTTCGAATCAAGTTAGAGTCAACATGTTTCTACTAACAAAATATAACTTTAATACCCTGGCAGCCAGCATAACCATAAGAAAGAAAGATTGTATATTTTTTTGTTTATAACTTTTAATGTATCTATTTTCAAACACTAATATTTGATTCTCGTTAATCATTTTGCACTACGTGTTGTTTTTATTGAGCCAACAATTATTAAGTCATACAACACCTTAATATTAAAAGGAATAGGGTCGGTCTGAGTATCACAATATAGATGGCCGAAATAGTATGCTTTGGTAAAAAAAATATTGTTAAGTATTTAGTGAGTATTTAGATGATTCATAGTTAAATGATTTTTTAAAGTATTTAAATTACTTGTATATTTAAACATATAAACTTTTGATTTAATTTTACATTTACTTATACTTGATTTTATATTTAAAAGAAAGAGGTTTTGTATTTGAAAGTACTGAACACTAATTGTAACGACGTAACGACAGCAAGAGACATTTTTACAGTATTTTCTTTGTCATGTACACTACTCTACCACTATAAGGTTGTAGGCAATTATTGGTACAACGTATTATTATTATACACAGTATACTGCCTTGTTTACTGAACAAATCAACCACAGAAGTCACCGAACCCGGGATTTACTATTATTGCTAAAGTGTTAATTAATTTAGTGAATTTATTTACTTTCCGAACTAGTTATTCTAATATAAATATCAAACCAAAATATCTTTCAGAAGTATATTTTTCATGAAGAGGGAAGAGTTAACTAAAAGTTAAGTTACGCTAAATTTAGCTTAAGGATATTCCATTTGTTTCATTAATTATCTACCCAAGGGGAAATTCTTTGCCTTAATTAGTCAATGTACTGTTTTCTTGTTTCAGAAGTGTTTTACATCCTTTTCCTTTTTTCTCATAATTTATGTATAATCTAAGCCACCAGGTGAAGGGATTATCACACATGTAGCGGGGGGGGGGGAGGGGGGGATAAGCGGAATTTGATCCCAGCAATCAAAGACAAAGCACTGTGTTGCATCTATAGACTCGTTGCATCCTTCAACGGGTCAAAGTGGTCATAGTGTGTAGTCCTGTTTGAGCATACTGAGAAATCATTGAAAAAATCTTTCGCCCAATTATTAAGAGCAGGTTAATAAAAAATAATAATAAATAAATAAATAAAAATAAAAAAACCCTAAGACCTAAGTAAGTACCTAAGTACTGTATACCTAAGTAGACCTAAGTAGAACTAAGTAGTAAGTAGTAGTAAGTAGACCTAAGTATTATCATGGTCTAATTCGAAAAAAAAAATGGTGGTCGTTGTAATTTCTATAATTTTAATTACTAAGGGATCGAAAATTTTATGGAAAAATTACAAAAATACTTTTATTTAGCATCTTAAATTGTCTGTCAAAGGACACAAAATTTGAAAAAAACTGGTAAAAGCTGAAATTTACGAAAAAGAAACTAATATCAGGCAATATTAGGTCAAACCTGACTAGCTTAGACTTATTCATAATTAAGCCTCATCTTACGACAAAAAATCTTGAATATGTAATTGAAATTATAAAATTAAAACGGCTGTTAATTTTAAATGTTAAATTAGTTAAAGTAAATTATTGTTTTAACATATTAAGTGTCTTCGATCTTAACATAGGCCTTCATCCAAAGTTTCATAACGATCTAAAATAAAAGGAAACCATTTAATTGGTTAGAAAGATTCAAAGAAAACATTTTTATCAGACTTCCAGATAAATAAAATATTTTTGATTTTTTTCATGAATTTGACCTATAAATTTTTATGACTCATTATTTCCTGGAGTTTGGCTCTTTAATTACGAGAACCCCATATAGAAAGCCTGCATTCGTGTAACCCAAATACCAATACCCCGCTGCAGCAAACCTGCAGAGTCAGCGAATTTCCATTAGCTGGGTGGTTTTTACAAAAATATTCCCTTAAAGTTGTCAGATTTATTTCTTATTAAAAACATTAATTTTAATGAGTACTTAGGTTTACAGCTACAGGGAAGGTATTGAGGCGTGTTTTTGTTGTTGTTGAGATGTTGATAGCTTAGTATAAAATAAACCAAATTTTTGAATTTGATAAAAATAAACATAAACAAGCAAACTACAGGACAACAGTTCTATAAGAATAACACGGGAAATATTTGTTTTTTTTATTAGCTCCATATCCGTTAGGCATACAAAATCGCTTCAATACACAAAATTAATAATTTTTTTGAGCTCTACAAAATAGTTCAGAAATAAGTTGTGAAATGTTGTGTTTTTTGGGTCAAAAATAGGAAAACACCAAGTTTACCCCATAAACCCCCCCCCCCAACCATAGTCTGATCATGCTGATTCGCGAACTCGTTTGAATCAAAATACGTTTACACGTTTGTACTAGTTAATACTGTGCAGATAATAGGTTAATAGGTGTGTTAATACTGTGTTGTTGGTCTTCATCGAAATCGGGTCATTTTTGCTTGAGTTATGTATATATATGAATTGAACGGAGGGTATTTTTCTGAAAGGATGCTGGTAATGGAAAAGTTATTCTTGGCCTACTTACCTGTAAGTGCTAACTTTTAGGGAAAAAGAAGTTCACCAATCTTAAGGGAAAATACAACGTCATGTTTAAAATATAAAAAAAAACTGTTAGAACATTTTTTTTGCGTGGATTATATGTTTAGTGTTTCTTTTTTATGGTGAACCTTTTCTAAATTACCATATCCTTAATATTTATTGGCCTCTCAAATATATCTTAAAAAAGTTACTGTATTATTCATCAAATCATTAATCTTTTTATGTACTTAAGAAGACGTTTTCTCTTCATATCCCTGAAGAATGTTTGCTTGGTTACACAAGTGTTTATACATTTAAAATGCTTTACCATAGAGATATAATTTTACATATGAATTGTTAGATTTAAAATATTTATTTTAATAGTCTACTTTTCTTTATAAATAGAAATATCTTATCTTACTAATATTATAAATCTGAAAGTTTGTAAGTTTGTGTGTGTGTGTTGCTCAGTCACGCATAAACCACTGGACGCATTGGGCTGAAATTTGGCCTGATGGTAGCTCACATTCCCGATAAACATTAAGGCATATTCTTATCTCAAAAATCCTTTCGGGCTCCGCCCCAGTGGCTCTGTAGTTCCCCATGTTAACCTTCTGAGTTTTCATATTTAAAGGGAATTAAAGAATTTAGTCAGCTGTTTCAACTTTACAAGTTGGTTCTATAAATGCAATAGCATAAAAAAGTTATAAAGGTTTCCCAACAGGGTGCAGCACTATTATTATTTTGTTTTTTGATATATGACAACAGCTAATTTGAACTAAATAGCAACAAAAAGCTGTGATACATAATTAGAACTGTCAAAGTAGGACTGTTTACAGTTAGGTTTGAGTTTTTAATTGAATGAATAATTTGTGATATCGTGTGAATATTTGATAATTTATTTTTTCTATTGTTTAGGTGCAGTGGTAGAACAGTATGGCAATAGTAGATATGTGTTATACTATATCAAACCGTAAATTTATGAACCAAATTTGATCAAACTGTGTCCTCTTCCCATTGAAAACGCAAAGCTTGACCCCGTACGAAGGACGGGTGCTCTGCTAGTATGTAGATATATTTGATATATGTTGTATACATATTCCCTGTATTATATCATTATTTGGCCTAAATCTATTTAAATTTTCTTCGTAGTCTATAAAAAGTTTTAATAATATACAGTGTGTAAATTAAGTCTTGAAACAAATCTGTATTTTTAAAACCGAAATAGATAGAAATATTCTGTTCGTGGCGTTGACCGTTAACAAATGTTCCGTAATTTTTTACATCAAAAATATTTTAACAGGGCAGGGGGTAGGGGGTGACTTATTTTTTCAAAATCAACCCCTATTGAGTGATCCCTCATTTTGAAGGATTTGTCCAAAAAATACAATGTCGCAAACCCAAAGTGGATATCTCACCCCTAGCAAAAATGACAGATATTCCAAATTGCACAAAAAATATGGAAACAAATCTGTATTTTTAAAAACATAATAACTATAAATATCCTACCTGTGGAATTGATTATTGACATAGGCTCCACAGTTTAATAAATCAACAATATTTAAGCCCTTTAACAAGGTAGGCGATGGAGGTTATTTATTTTTTTAATAACAACCCCTATTTAGTGACCCCTCATTTTGAAGGAATTTTCAAAAGAAATACAATGACGCAAACCCAAGGTAGATATGTCATCCCTAGACTAAATGGCGGGTATTCCAAAATTTGATTTATGTGAAAAAGCACCCATTTTGGAATCCCCGCTATTTTGGCTAGGGGTGAGATATTCACCTTGGATTTGCATTATTAAGTTTTTTTTTACAAGCCCTTCAAAATGAGGGGTCACTCTATAGGGGTTGCTATTTGAAAAAAAAAATGTCACTCCCAACCCTCTACCCTGTTAGGAGGGTTATACAATTTTTGTGTGTAAAAAATAGCGGAACTTTTGTAAGTATCAATGCTACAAACTGAATATTTCTATCTATTTTGGTTTAAAAAATACAGATTTGTTTCAAGACTTAATTTACACACTGTTTTTAAAATCAAGTATCTAAACCTCTGATTAAGTAAAATACTAAACAAAGGAATATTAGAATGCCACTTAGGAACAAAAAATAGTTTATTTGCTAAGCTCGTACAAATATTTTGATTTAAATGTTACAAACATTATTTTACAGAATATATTTACATAATTACATTCTTTCAAACATTGTAATAATGCATTTCATGCAGGAAGTAAACAAATTCAACACATTGTTTATTCCATTCAATCTGTTTGGTTACTTGTCAATTTTTTATTGTTTTAACACATTTCAAATTTATAATCAGAATATATATCAAACTATGAAATATAAATTGTTTAAAAGTAGTAGTAGCACAGTTTCAACCGCACATGAGAAAACCTTTCAATAATCTAAGCTGTAACATTACAATTTTTATTATATTTGTTGAAGTTAACAAGGTAGAGAATTTTAAATTACAGCTCAAACATGTGTTAATTTAACATTTGTTGACCTTAACAACATCATTTTTAACGAGAATATACGCTGAGATATCAAATTATGCAAACTAATTCGTAAAGTAATTAATAATTTGTAGTTTACATAGGTATTAGTTGTAAAATAAAGTACTATTAACTTACTTAAAACTGAATGATCTAATAGTAAAATAATTTTTTTCATAATGTGCCCCCAGTAAAATAAAATCCAAAGAGGAGTTTAAAATCGAAGCACATCCGTCTTTTGATCATTCAAACGTTTGAAGCAATTTGATGTATCCAAATATCTGTAAAAAATTGATTTGTTAGTTAAGTACCTGATAATATTTTATATTCATGCACAATGTAATTTGATATTGCATAAACTTGATCGTGTTTTGACTAACCATTCACATACAAACAATTTAATTTACTTTACATTGGATAAAATATTAAACAAATTTTTAAACAAATCCAATACAAAAACCATTAAAAATAATCGTTGTTACTTTTTACTGCGTAGTTTAAATTTTCCAAAAGATCTTTAAAAAATAAAAAAGGGTGAATAAATTAAAAAGGAAATACAATTTTCTTCTTGGTCTAAAATGATTATTATTTAAAGTCAGATATAGTTACTTTGATGAAAGTTAGTTAGGGTATCTTATGCCAAACGCCCTTGAATAGAAAATATTACAATTTCAAATATACCACAGAAAAATATAATGGAAAGGAAACATACTTACTAGGAATATTCACTATACAGTTGCCTCTAAGACACCCTCCGTTGTAGATTGAGTTTGTGCAGATGAGTATATGCTGACCAGTCTAGCAAACCTTGGACCTAACATGACATACCTGACTGGCTCGTCAGGGTCTGCACCTGGAAATCAAAGTAAAACAAAAAATGTATAAAAACTAATACAAAACAAAGTAAATACTAAAGGATAAAATGCCTTTAATCCGTCAGTCTGAAACCGGCTGGTGCTCATAATTGAAGTTGATCGGATTTACGGATTAAAGGTATTTTAACCTCTAGTTTGAATTTAAGTTGTGAGGAGACAAAAACAAAAGAAATGAAAAGTAACTTTTTTAATGTCCCAAAGATAATACATGATCAAAAGGTAGCTACAGTTAAATTTTAATTTAATATTAAAACGCCTAAGCTTCGGAAAACCATAGACAATTATAATTACATATAAACCGAAGCAGTGCTGTGGTTGGCATAAGTTCTGGCGTCCACCGCTAGGAGTGCCGTGTAGTCACGTTGCGCCTGCGCCATATCTACATGGCACTCCTAGCAGTGGACGCTAGAACTTATGCTAACCGCTGCACTGGTGTTGGTCTATATTTAATTCTATTTGTCTATGGTAAAACACATGAGTATGATTGTCGTTGAAATAGTGACTGGTATACATTAGTGTTTTGACAGCTAGATCTTACGGTCCTGATTGAAATTCTGATTGCCAATATCAGGAGCATTTGCCATCTAGGAAGGTGACAGAAAGAAATTGTGTGAACATAATGGTAGATGTACTGAAGATTATACTAAAATATAACTAAAAGTAGTTTAGGATTCTGTGCTTTAAGTGAACTTGAGTCCGTCTTTTAGAATTTCAATAAATCAATAAATATGTTATTTATTTTATTAAATATTATAATTATATACTAATATATTATTTAAAATATATTTATTTATTGATTCGAATTGCATCCTATCTAACCATTTATTTATTTATTTACTGCTCTTGACAATTTTTACATTGTGTAGCATGTTTATTCTAATATTTATAGTTACATAGAGGTTTTTATCAAATTACAATTTAAATAAAAGTGAACTTTTAACAAATAAATCAATACATCAAAGAAACAGGGGAAAACTACAAAACATTGTACATTTATTAGGAAAGTCATAAAACATTTAACTCTTAACCTCTGGGGAATATAGTGCGGAACTAGAAAACCTTTGAATAATTTAAGCTAAAACATTACAATTATTATTTTATTTGTTGAAGTTAACAAGGTAGATGTAGAGATTTTTCAATTACAGCTCAAAAATGTGTTAATTTTATTGACTAGGCCTATTATTAAATGTTTTCAACCAAAGGGAATCATCTCTGCGTTAATATTTCTATTTACACGGAAGAATTCAGTACATTTACGTATTGTCCACCATGCATTTAGAGTGATCTCACAACAAAATTATTTTAAAAAATAATTTAAAATTTGAATGTCAAGTTTAACTACAAGAAAAAATTTGGTCCATATACGTAATCTAATTTCTCAATACATGAAATTTCTCGATGCTTAATTGTTCTGTAAAAGTAGTTTACGCAACAATCGCGTAAAAATAGTGTTGACGACACTGTTAATAATGGTATGTTTTTGTTTTTAACCTTTATTGCCACTGACATTGATGACTCATTGTACCATCAATGAATACTGTACAGAATCTTATAAGGTTATGTATTCATTGGTACCAATCACTAATTGCACCAATCGTTAACAACTAAGTAAACAGCTGAATAGGTGAAGTTCTAAGCATTACAATTTAACTTCTTCGATCTCAATCATTGAACCGTATTCGTCCGTTACCCGTGTTGTTAAGTAAAACTATGCTGTTATGTAAGTAAACAATGCTGTTATGTGAAACTTTTTTATTCTAAGAACTAAACTGAAACTGCTACTTTAAAAAAAAAACTGTTGTAGATAAAAGTATGTTATTCTTGGCTCGGATTCATAATAAACTAGTTAAGCACAATTTTAACAACACTTTTAATTTAAATTATTATTACCACGCTCTACAGAATCAAAACTGACTGTGAACCATTTTTACTTCTCAAGGTGCCTGACAAATATTGAAACTTACAAGACTCCAGCGACGACAGAGATCCAACAACACTTTCACAACATCCCTCGAAAGCGTAACTCCTCAAGTCGTCTCCCATTGGCTCGCTGGGGTCAACGTCCTCTCGTTTACGCCTTCCTTCTATCCTTGACTCTAGGCTAGTCTCTTCTATCAACTCGGGCACTGCAACAATAAGACAGGTTAATAGGCTTTTAACATACCTAAAAGTGTTGTGATAAACAGTAATTAATTATGCTCGAAACGTTATACCTTTTGTTTAACTTACAATTACTCATCCTGGGGTTTCCGTCAAAATTGAAATAACTACGAGATGATCGACTATAATGCAGAGATTAGTTATATTGAAGATTCAGCGAATGCATGCGAATTAACCTAAAATCGGCAAGCTGGGAAGTGGTGCCGTCGTTGTTTGTAGAAAATAAAACCAGGAATAAGATGAAGTAGTGCAGGTTTGAATTGAGTTTTTAACTTGGGCAAGCGGTCAATAAATGTATTTTCAGAAGTATCCAATCAAATTGGCTGGTATTATTGGTCGGATGGTTGATTTACAGAATAGACTTGCCACGGCAACACAGCTGATAGTGATAAGAAGTATTTATAATTTGTATTTGTTAATTTCCTGGCAAACTGCCCGTACCTACAGCCGCTTATCTCCGAAAAATAGTGTTTATTCATACAAGCATACTTGATAACTTTTCCTCGTAAGTAAGAAAGCTACATAAAACATAAATTTGTACATGTAACATACATTACGAAGTACCTATGTTCTTGCTGAAAAGAAAGAAAATAAATGAAAACTGGGATATAATGAATTGATAGTACAGGGCAACTCGACACAGTTTATTTTGCCGCTCAAAAGTTTCTGCAGAAACAACAGAAGCACTCGTCTTATCCTTGACTCAACAAGGTAAACCAAATAAAACTTATATTTTGTGCGTACGTGGAGTTCCTTTCATAAACATTGCTTAACTGAGAATGTCAAATAATCCCACGTTATTATGAAAATATATTACTAATTTGGTTTTACAACATATATATTTATGTGATCAAGCATTTTTGAGATATTTGGTAAGATTTTGATGTTATGGTATTTTATCCATGCCATTGGTATTTTCAAGTTGTTTTTTAAGGAACAGGTCCCAAAACCCTAGTCTTGTACCATCTAAAGCGTCAAATTTTGTTAAATAACATGCTAAATTGACACCCAATGACAAATGGAAACTGGGTCTGGTAAAGATCTCGCTTGGATTCTAACTAGCGACCTTCAGATACGAAGTCAGCACTATAACCATTCGGCTACCTACAAACAAATAATATGATAGGTTGCGTAACTTTTTTGCGTCTTCAGTCTTTTAAATAGTCTGGGGTAACTAGTTTCGGTTACAAATTTCAACCCACATAAAATTAGTCAATAAATTTTACGGAAGTTTTCGTTGATATATAAACACCCTTCGACCGACACATAAAGTTAACAAATCAATCAAATCAAATCAAAATGTCTTTATTTCGTAAAAAATAATCATTTTTACAGTTTTTACAAAATACAGTATCAGATTACCATTAGAATATAACTGAGTACTTGAACTAAACGAAATTAATCCCACATGGGAGAACCCGTGCGTGGGAGTGAGTCATTCTGTACTTTAATATGAAAGAGAAAAAAAAAGTTTTATACGTAATAAGAAACAAAACAAAATACTTCTATCCACTGGCATGATTACAAAGCGCTAGCGGAATTTTGGCAAATCACATTGGAACATAGATAAAATGATATCAGGTTGACTCGTTGACTTTCCCCTACCATTAATACCATTAACCCCCCAAAACGCCCCCCTCCACCTCCCCCTCACACACACACACACTCACGCTCACCCACACATGTTTGTAAGAGGACCTCGATTGTACTAAGTGCGGCGGAACCATCACAACCGAGGTACTCGAGCCCAATCATCATGATGGGGGACTTCAAACAAAAATCCTTATTACATTAAAAATAATATATTTAATTTTTTGTAAACGCTTTAGTATAACTTAAGATGCATAATATAGTACGTTTATGCATTTTTTTCAATTTTATCGTTGACTTTAAAAATGTCAGTCCAATGCACGAAAACGAGGTCCTAAACACTTTGGCCCTAATAAGCATAATCGAGGACTTAACCACTTTGGGCCCAGTTAGCATAAACGAGGACTTCTGAATTAAGTTTAGGATTTCTGTTATATGAGTGTGTCCGGTGTCAGAACCGGCATTTCAGGTTGGCCACAGTTATGGACGACTGGGCAAGCCAGCATCTTTGGGTTGTACCCAAAGTGAGAGTCCCCAGTGATATTCCTCCATCCAGGTTGACTTCGGTCTATCATCTGCCTGTGGCTGTGGTTCTTTGGGACTTGCCCTGCCTGATGTGTATGACTGATATTTTGTAAGGCATATCCTCGGCTCTGGAAGTAGCCTCTTCCTGGGAGGTGAAAAACGGGGAAGTCTAGCCCCGAAAGAGGAGGTAACGGGGGCTTGATGGTGAGCTTGAAGTCATCCACCCCATGGTGTGTTCAGGGTTGGTGCATAAGCTCCGGCCTACGCCATGGGACCCGGGTATGAGCGTTTAGGTACCTACCGGGTATTCATTGGGGAGCTTCGGTTCCTTCGACAACAACAGTGTGTCGAAGGATATGTGACAAATATGAGTGTGTCGTTTTGCTGTTATTACATATAAAACTGTTTATTGCTATTATATGTATTATTTATTCATAATTATTATTGTCATCCGTACTATTATTGTGCACCGACTCTTTTACCTTACATTATTTATACTGTAAACTGTGTATCTGGTGTTTCCTACATAATCTTCAATACTTTTAGATATAACTCAGCAGCTAACACAAGCAAAATATTAAAATGAACCTATGACCGGAAATTCATTGTTTGCCAACAACTCCAAGGTATCTCGTTATTTTCCCCCAAAACATCCTAAGCACAAACGAAGATGTCCAAAATTCCTAGGTCCCACATTATTTCCCTTTACAACAAGGTCCTAAAACAAATTAAAAGTAACAACACCTCCGAGATCCCACATCCAAGATCCTTCCAAGATGAGGTCCTAAGCACAAATTAAGATATCAACATATCCAAGGTCCCGCATAATTTTCCTTCGTAACGAGGTGTTTAACACAAATTTTAACTAACAACACCTCCGAGGTCCCGCATTATTTTCCTCAAAAACGAGGTCCTAAGCACAATTCAAGATATCAACATATCCGAGGTCCCGCATTATTTCCCTCAAAAACGAGGTCCTAAGCACAAATTAAAAGTAACAACACCTCCGAGGTCCCGCATTATTTCCCTCACCAACGAGGCCCTAAACACAAATTTAAAAAAAAACAACACCTCCGAGGTCCCGCATCATTTCCCTCAAAAACGAGGTCCTATGCACAAATCAAGATATCAACATATCCGAGGTCCCGCATTATTTCCCTCACCAACGAGGTCCTAAACACAAATTAAAAGTAATAACACCTCCGAGGTCCCGCATTATTTCCCTCAAAAACGAGGTCCTTAGCACAAAACATCATATCAACACATTCGAGGTCCCGCATTATTTCCCTAACCAACGAGGTCCTAAACACAAATTAAAAGTAACAACACCTCCGAGGTCTCGCACTATTTTCCTCAAAATCGAGGTCCTAAGCACAAAACATCATATCAACACTTTCGAGGTCCCGCATTATTTCCCTAACCAACGAGGTCCTAAACACAAATTAAAACTAACATCACTTTCGAGGTCCCGCATAATTTTCCTTCGTAGCGAGGTCTTAAACACACATCTAGATTTCAACACATCCAATATCCCACAATATTTTTGAAATAAAACCTTTTGTTTTGACCATACCAGAGCTTAAAACTATGTTAGTATATTTTTGTACCCAAATATGAAGTAATCTCCAGTTTCTAATGTACCCTTCGTATCTATATTATTAAAATAATTTGTTGGATTTTTGTGTGCAGCAAATCGACCCCTTAATATTTTTTATAGACATTAGGAATCAATTTAAAGCTCTTATCCTCTAGATGTACCTTTTGTGGGTTTGGATGATATCCCGTCTAATCCCTTCGTTTTAAAGGCTTTTAAAAGTGCATAGTTTCTGCTTAATTCTGTTTCCAATCATCTGAACTTTTTCAATCAACACAGATAGCCATGATACAATTTTTTTACATCCATACGAAAATGGGGTTATCTGTAGTTGGCGATGTTTAAGTCATGTAAAATGTTGTAATGTCATTTGTATAAATTGTAAATGTCGTAATGTTGGTTGCATAAAATGTAAAGAATAAAATAAAAAAATAAAAAATAAAAATAAAATAAAAAAAATCAAAAAATCAAAAAAATAAAATTAAAATAAAAAATGCTATCAAAACGCAACATATAACATAAGTACGTTATATGTTGTGTTTTCATAGCATTTTTTATTTTTGTTAGTATTTCAAACATTTCTAAGATGTCTCGAAGGGATCGTGCACGAAATGAAAATAATAGGGCTCACAATGCAAATAATAGGGATATGATGAGACATAATCCTTATCCGCTATGTATAAAATATATCACGGAATTTGAAGTCACGAAGTGACGCAGGTTGCTATTCTACACAGGGTGGCTGAAAAGTAACTTGCACCCCCTCCCCCTTAACTCTTCAACCATTTGAGATATTTGAAATCGATTTGCGGCAACCTTCCTAGATATAAAGGGCTACAATAATTATGGTCAATATTGAAAATTTTGCCTTTAGAGGTAGCGGGGATAATGGGTAGCTAAAAATTTTCAAATGGCAAGTATAGTTGAGTTTGGTATCATTTTATAGGTCTTGATGAACCAAATAATTGACATAAAGAAAACCAAAATCGGCCCACTAATAACAAAATGGTGCCCTAAAGCTGTTGAAATCCAAATAACCATGAGGGTGGTTTAAAATTAACTTGACCACTTTTTAACTTTTCAAGTATTTGAGATATTTGAAATCGGTTTGCAAGAACCTGTTTAGATATGAGGGGCTACAGTAATAATGGTAAATTTTAATATTTTGCCCTTGTAGTGGGGGTAGGGTGTAAGTAAAAATGTTCAAATATGAAGTATGGTCGAGTTTGA